GGGCAACAAGGAGCAGAAGCTGCGGTTCGCCTTCAAGGTGTACGACATTGACCGCGACGGCTTCATCAGCAACGGCGAGCTCTTCATCGTGCTCAAGATGATGGTCGGCAGCAACCTCAAGGACCAGCAGCTCCAGCAGATTGTCGACAAGACCATCATGGAGGCGGATCTCGACAATGACGGCAAGATCAGCTTTGACGAGTTCACCAAGATGGTGGAGAACACGGACGTCAGCATGAGCATGACGCTCGACCAGTTCTAGGCGACATCGCGACGAGGGGAGGAGGAAGGGATCGGTTGTGGAGCGGCTTGTAGGCGCAGGCGCTGTATATCGGGCGAGGGGAAGGCGCAGGGCGTGGAGGGCGGCGGCGACGACGAATCACACTCACGAGAAACGACACGAGAAGAATATGCTGGGGGGGGGTTCTCTCCCCCGTGAGATCTCAACAATACAACCAATACCCCGAAACGAGGGCTACGTACTGGAACGACCATGGCGCATCTCTACTATTGCTTTTCGTGAACTTCAACCTGCTGTAGGCGAACGTGATGACGTGATCGTCGACAGTAGGTGACTTTCGTCAGCGCAGGGAGTCATACGGTAGTACGAATAAGACGAAGGCTTTAGACAGGTGGTAGTAATTTTTGGGTCGGCAGCAAGTAGCTTGTATCGTAGGGCAATATGTCTTTTACTGGGAGGGAGATTGGCGCAGGTGACAACGTCTTACATTTGGCCTGATCTGGGGGGTGTATTCCATATCCCCTGGCTCAACTAATGAGACTAGCACGACTGCCAGAGAAGCATGATTCACCTTTCGCGCTGTTGGTAAATTCACAGCTCAAAACGGAGCAAGTGCACACGAATTGTGATGGCTGAATAGCTGACGTACAGCGCTGTCGTCAGTGGTGTGTAATCATTCCCCATCACATGTTCATACTAAGACCTTCAATGTGATATCGGATATGAAAACCTTTTGACGCCATTGAAGTTTGCTCACCAAAGCCATCCTCATAAGACAGCCATGTCGACGCCAACAGTCATTCGGGCAGAAGGGCTTGACTACAGGGGCTCCAGACCATATCAGACATCTCAAAATAAAAAAAGCGGCATCAATCCTTCAAAGACAAGTAAGCACAGCTCGCGAGCCGACAAATCCTAAATTCACCCGACACTCAGAGCTGCAGCCACCCAGCAATGTCTCCAGCCAAGCCCCGGGACCGAAACTTTGACGTAGACACACAGCCGCGAGGGAGCTGTCACCCCATAGAACCCCCTCTCCACCAACCCGCACGGAAAAAGAAAACGAAGACTGGATTCAACGCAGCGAGACAGCGGGACAGAGGTGTCGCCAACAGCGCGCCTGGAGCATTTGACCCGTTCCGTTCCCGCCTCACGCAGCTTCCCGAGACATCGAGGCCACTTTCTCAGCTCAGCTCGACACCTCAAGCTCACCGGGCCAAGGGAAACGTTGCCTCGCTTTGCTAAGATCAAATGCCATGATGGACACTGCCTACACGCTCCGGACACCCCCTCCGGGTGCGAGCCAACAGACACAATCACACATGTCTCGAGGGCCCGCCCTGCAGTGCAACCAAAAATGGCGGTTTAGCGCAGTCCCAGAGAGACGGGTATTGGTTCCGGGGTGGTCCGCCTGGCGTTCCTCAGCACAGCCTTGCACGAACGAGACATGCATCCATTGACTGATCACATAACGAACGACAGGGATCGCTGTCCACCCTCCCTCGATGACCTTATTCCTTGTCTCACTCGCAGCTGCGAGATGCCGCAGGCCAGTGGGGGGAGGGAATGGCTGGCGGAGGGGAGCTGTGCAGTGTCTTACTGCACAGGCAGCATGAGCTGATTCCGACTCCACTGCCCAGCTCGTTGGACACAGATAGTCCTGACAAGACGAGGCTTGCTCATGAGCAGGGTAGCTGGAGACTGAGGCTGAAGATCTCTGGGGGGGGGGGGATCAGACCCCGGGTGGTCGCAGGGCGCGAACAAGATATCGATTGAGCCCCTCAGCTTGCGTACAAGTTGCCGTCCGTCCATTCGCCTGCGTCCCCTTCCCCCCACAATCCGCAAGGCACGTCGTTCAGACAAGCACAGAGGTAAGGTGCAACCAGGGGAACAGGGTGTGGGTGTGGATGGAGTGGCGAATGCTACCGCATGTGAGGCGTCGGCGTGAGGCGTTCGACCAGCGATTGGATCGTTCATGCTGGAACGATCGGTCCGAGAGGGGGGGGAGGAGGGACGGGGAGCAGCCGACCAGTCCGCCCCGGTCGTCCGCTTCCGGGGCGGATCCACCTCCCCCTTCCTGTCCTGCCCTGGCGCCGGAGCTTCTACTGTGATTTCCGTGTCGTGCAACGGCCAGGGTGAGCCACAGGAACACATAACCCCCCCCCACTCGATGCAACTTGGCCAGGACACCCGAGCCCGCTTGCCGCATATCGCGAATCGGTCCCGCAACTTGTCCAAGGTAGGGGCGGGCAGAAACGAGAGAGAACAAAGAATGTTAAACCCAGCAGCGCATCGTAGGTCCCCGGCCCTGAAGCGATGCGATCCGGTTCACCCCCCTCCACCCCCTTCCTGAGAAATGACAGGTCACACCAACCACAAGTCGGGGGCACCCCTGGTTTGTCGCCCATGTAAACCAGAGTCCTGGTGCACCAGGCCCCCCCCCCCTTCCGCTGTGCTCCCCTCCAGGCACCCCCCGTGACCCCCCCGTAGGCCCCCTAAAAATGAGCCCTAGATTCTCCCCGAGATCGCCCCCGGGGGACCCTCCGGCGATCCCGCACAGAGGGAGCAGCCTTGCTCCGGGGGGAAACTCCTCCCATGCCGTCGTGCACCGATCGCACGGGCGGCGCAGGGGGGACCAGAACCAAAATAAAAAAGTGACAGAGTGAGGAGACCGGGCGATTTGCCTTGGGGGGAGAAACAGGCCCACAAGGCTCAGCGTTCCTGCTCCCCGGATCTGCCCACTGCTGTCCATTCGTGAATTGTGATTGCTGACCGTCGCGAGCCGGGGCTGACATGGCGGATGGAGAGGCGGAGGGCGCCGTGGGGGCGCGTTTTCCCTTCGTCATGCTGTCCTGTCCCAGCTTCATCAGGAGACAATCCAGCCTCAGTCCAGCCTCCCGCGCCTATCTCTTGTAAATAATGCACCGATCCAGCAGGTCATGGACACACACCAAAAAAAAAAAAAAAAAAAAGACTCTATCGACAAGCCCCCCTCTCACGACGACGCACAAGAGAGCCAGAAAAGAAAAAGAAAAGAAACGTGGATGTGACGCGCCTTGCATATCAGGTGGGACAGGGAACCCGCGCCAGTCCCAGGCGGTCGGTGCAGCCCAAGGTTACGGTGCCGCACCGTACCTCCATACAGTTGCTGTCCCTCTCTGCCCCTTCTCCCGAGTAGTAGGTAGGTCGGTAGGTATGCGCTGCAGCCGGGTGGTGGGTGACCTGCAGCCTGCCTGCCTGCAACCCACTCCCCACCCCCCTCTTCAGTGCCCGCCCTGCTGCTGCAGCGTCTCTCCGCCCCCTTTCGTAGGGCCGAGACGATATAACGTCACGGTTCACTCACCCTCACCATCAAAGAGGTGCCTTACGGCGCGCGCATCGTCTGCCGACCGTCTGCCGAATCTGGGCGTCACCAGAACACGCCATGGCTGCCCAATTGCCACTTTGGCGTGATCCCTGAGATCGCCTCGGCAGAGAGAAAAAGGCATGGGCCTCGGACGCAGTGCCGCTGCCAGGCCAGGCTCCAACCGTGGCCAATTGGGCTGAAATGTTGGCCGAGCCCGCCACAAACACCCCCCCCCCCTCCCTTCCTCCCCCCTCAGCCTCATGTGACGACGCGAGCGAGTGATGGGGTCACATTGGGTGTGTGTATTGGGTTCAATGGAAAAAGATGACCACCGCAAACTACATGTCAATCGTGATTCACTCGCAGCTTGCTTTTCCCCGAATTCCTCATCTCTTGCACTGTCCATCAGGTTTCGGCAGTAGTGGTACACTAAAAAAATACAGCTCAGCCTAACCC